AATTCAAATTAGACTGTATAATGTTGACTATAATCCCCACAGTAACCACAAAAAGAACATTTAACAATTATGCATAAAAGGAAATGGGAAGGGAATCATAATCATTCACCACAAAAAATCAACACAGAAGAAAACAGTAATGGAGAAAATGAGAAACAAAAAAGGCATAAGACATAAAGACAACAAATAAAATGGCAGAAGTTCTTCCTTATACTAATTATTTTTTTTTTTAAGATTTTTTTTGACGTGGACAATTTTTTTTTTTAAGTCTTTATTGAATTGGTTACAATATTGCTTCTGTTTTATGTTTTGGTTTTTTGGCCACAAAGCATGTTGGATCCTAGCTCCCCAGCCAGGAATTGAACCTGCACCCTCTGCATTGGAAGGTGAATTATTAACCACTGGACTTCCAGGGAAGTCCCATACTAGTTACTTTAAACGTAAATGGATTAAACTCTCCAAGCAGAAGGCAAAGATTGGCAAAATGGATAAAAGAGAAATAAAAATAAATGATCCAGCTATATGCTGTCTATAAAAGACTCACTTTAGCTCTAAAGACACAGATATGTTGAAAGTGAAAGGATAGAAAAAGACATTCTGTGCAAATAGTAACCAAAAGAGAATTGGAGTGGGTATTAGATTAGTATTAGATAAAATAGATTGTAAGCCAAAAATTGTTTTAAGAAACAAAAATGTATATTACATATTGATAAAAAAAGTCACTTCATCAAGAAGATATAATTTATGCACCAACAGAGCCCCCCACAAAATATATGAAGCAAACATTGATAGAATTAAAAACTGGATAGATCTATAAGAATTGTTAGAAACTTCAATATTTCACTGTCAAAAAATGGATAAAACCTTTAGACAGAAGATCAATGAGGAAACAGAAGACTTGAATAACACTATAAACAAACTAGACCTAATGGACATATATAAAACACTCCACCCAACAATAAAATATACGTTTCTCAAGGGCGCAAGGCACATTCTCCAGAATAGACCATATGTTAGGCCACAAAACAATTTTCAGTACATTTTAAAAGACTGAAATCATACTAAGTATCTTCTCTGACCACAATGGAATGAAGCTAGAAATCAATAACAAACGAAAAAGTGGAAAATTCACTTGTGGCATATTAAATGTGGCAATTAAACAACACACTCTTTAAAAACCAATAGGTCAAAGAAGAAAGTATAAGGAAAATTTCAAAATATATGATCCAGCAATTCTACTCCAAGGTATGTATATATCTGGAGTATATATTTTCAAAATATTAAAAAAGCAACTCAAAGAGAAACTTGTGTATCAGTGTTTATTGCAGCATATTCATAATAACCAAAAGGTGGAAATAGCTCAAGTGTTCATCAACAGATGAATGGATAACAAAAATATGGCATACATATACAATAGAATATTATTTAGACATAAAAAGGAATGAAATTCTGATACATGCTATAACATGGATGAATCCTGGAAACATATTAAACAAAATAAGCCAGGCACAAAAGAACAAATATTGTATGATTCCACTTATAAGAAGCAGAATAGGTAAATTCATATCGAAATTGAGTAGATTAGAGCTTACCAGGAGCTGATGGGGAGAGAGGAATAGGGAGTTATTACTTACTGGTTAGAGTTCCTCTCTGGAGTGATGAAAAAGTTTTGAAGATAATGGTGATGGCTGCGCAACATGAATGTAATTAATGACACTGAAGCTGTACATTTAAAAATGGTTAAAATGATAAATTTTATGTTATATATATTATTTAAACATTTTTAATAACAATTTTATTATGGTAAAATATACATATATATTACCACAATAAAAAATTTAATGTATTAAGATTTGTTTTTTCTGAGGGAAAATTCACAAGAATTTTAAAGAGAATCTTACAGAGTAAAAACATGACTTGCTTTGTTGTTATGAGCACATGTACTTATGAGCCAATCATACATTTGCACAGCTTTAGATCTTGAAATGTACCATTCATCTGCCCTTCTACCAAGAAGACTGCAGCGTGTTTATCAAGGTAAAAAAATGAACAAGCTTTAATGATTCTCTTCTGACAAGTTAAACAGAAGAAAAATATAGGATATAGGCTGTTAAAATTTTACTTTGAGAGGCTATCTCAGCAAGTAATCTAAATAAGTGTATGATGGTATATTCATTGCTTTTTGAAAATAGTTAGATGGCTGTGTAATTTTTAGTGAAAGAGCAAGGTAGCACTGAATGTTAAGAATCCCAAGCGTTAATATCTGAATATTTCTCTCAAAAGAAATCTATTACTGGGGAAAGTGGCTAAATAGGTTAATTTGTCAGATGAATTATTCAAATAACCACTAGAATATACCACAGGGAAAAAGACAAACCCTCAAGGAAGGAGAAAACAGGACAAGATGAAAGTAGTACAAAATGTTGAGAAACATATGGATGAGATATAAAACCACAACAGAGAACAGAACAAGAAACAAGCAGAACAAAATTTTGAAAGCTGAAAAAGCATATGCATGGACTGGCAGACTCAAGAAAGGCAAATCAAGCCAGCAGTGGAGAAAGATGAGAATCAACCCAATTCACCTCTCACAATTGCCAGTCGGCAGATGCAGTACCTCAGGGGGTACTGGACAGTGGCTAAAATAATGAGAACCTGATGAAAACTATTTGGAGGTTATATTCCTGATACCCCGTTCCCAACTCCCCACCACTGCTTGTCTGGCCCTCCCCCACACCAGCTAAAGTCCAGAGGTTTATTCTCTAGAGCAGTTAAAGCAGTTTTCTGGACTGCAGGCACTGGGTACTAAGCCAAAAGTGTATGTGTGGGAGGGGATGGACAGGATGGCCATAAAAATGTAGAGTGCCAGAAAGCCTGTTCTTCTCCAATATGGCAACTGGAACACTAGCAGACAGACCCTTAGCCTCCAGGAAGGAAACTGGAAACCTCTACTCTGGAGAATCTGACCAAAGCAAGATATTCATGTGGAGGAGCCCACCCAAAAAAAGCCCACCCAGATAACCCTAAAGCAAACCCCTTCCACAAGTCCAAGGCTTCTAATCAGCTTTATAGTCCACTGTATGTCTACCATAAGTAGACAGCCAAGGATTGCCAGATGTCCTAGAAAAGCCTAAAACATAGAAAAAGAAATAAATACATGAGAAGAAATTTGGAGTTAACAGATTCTACAGAAAAACAATTTCAAAAGAAAGAACATAGGGACTTCCCTGGTGGTCCAGTGGTAAAGAATCCACCTTCCAATGCACGGGACGTGGGTTCAATCCCTGCTCAGGGAACTAAGATCCCAAATGCCATGGGGCAACTAAGCCCGTGCTCCACAACTACTGAGCTCGTGTGCCTTAATGAGAGAGTCCACGTGCCACAAACTACAGAGCCCACGCACCACAACTACGGAGTCCACAGGCCCTGGACCCTGTGCCACAACTAGAGAGAAGCCCGCACACTGCCAACGAAAGATCCTCATGTCTCAACGAAGATCCTGTGTGCTACAACTAAGACCCAACACAGCCAAAAAAAATAAAGATAAATAAATACTAAAAACAAACACAAACACTATCACGAACATCCTCAATGGTAACAGAACAAATCCATAGACAAGAATATAAAATAAGAACTGAGTACTATATAAGAAAAGGAACTTTCAGAAATCATAAAGGGATCTTGAGATCTAAAAATATAGCAAAGAGTTGGAAGACTGAATCAAAGAGCTAAAGAAGAGATGGAGAGAGGGTAGGAAAACAGAGATCCAATCCAACATCAAAATATCAGTTCCAGAAAGAGAGAAGCAGAGGAGAGGAAATCAATGAACACTGAAAGTTTCCCAGAACTGAAAGATATGAGCTATCGCATGGAAAGAGTTCATCAAACACCTAAGATAATGAATAAAAATAGACCCACACCAAGGCACATCGCTGCAAAATTGCACTACCCTGAGAACCAAGGTATTCTACAAAGCTTTCAAGTCACATTCAAAGAGCAGAAATCAAAATGGTTTTGGATTTCTCAACACAACTGGAAATAAGACAATGAAGCAATACCTTCAAAATTCTGAAGGAAAATTATCTCCCACCCAGAATTTTATAAAATATTAATCAAATATGATAGATATGCAAGGTCAAAAAATTTACCTATATATTGATACTTTCTCTAGAAGCTAACAAAGGGTATGCTTCACCAAAATGGAAAACAATAAAGCCAATAAAATGGAAAACAAAAAAATCCAGAAAACAGATCAGCACAGGAGAAGAGTAAATGCAAATCCCAAAAGCTTAGGCACAAGAACATAGATTTAAGCAGAATGATTCAAGAGACAGGTTAATGGTTACACTCATCAAGATCAGTGCTAGTACTGTACTCTTAAACTTGAGGAACTGCGCATGCCCAGGTGAAACTGGTCCTAATTATCTGTAGGTTGGTCTTTACCATGTATGATTACATGCCAGCTTTCCATTCCATCTCAGCTACAAGGATCAGCAAAGACACTCACATCACCCTACGGAAGTACTGTCTTGACCTACTCCTTTGAGCTAGAATTTAATTCCTCATGGACTGAGAACCAGTAAATACAAAGAAGTCTACTCCCTCTGACCACATTTTTGTCAGACCATCAATTAGGCAGTGCACACTATAGGCCCTTCCAGATACCCTCTGGTGAGCCTTCTATTTAGCAGGACTCACTCATGACCTTAGCCACGAACTTCCTCAAAAGTGACTTTTGTAAACTCTCATGGAAGCTGAAGCCAGACTATGACCCCAAGACTTCATTATGCTCTCCCTGAAGCTTTCATGTAATAATGACAATGTTGCCCTTTAATACCTGCCAACAGATTTTTCAGAAGTAAATATATTGTTTAAGAGTGTATGTATATGTAATAAAATAAAAGAAATGCAAAGGAATGATTAACACAAAGTCAGGATAGTGCCTACATCTGTAAGAGGGGAGGGATGCAATTACAACACACAAGAGTCTTCTTAGATTCTAGTAAATGCTCTATTTCTTGACCTTCTTAGATATTACAAATGTTTCACTTCTTAACCTGATGGTGGGTATATGAATGCTCATTTTATTATTACTCTTTAAATCATATGCTTTTTGAATTTATAATTTACTTCACAAATTTAAAAAATCATCCTATCCACTTCCTTGCTCAGATTCCAAGCTCAATGAAGACCATTCTGGTAACAGTTTGACTCTATTGTAGCTTTGACTCCATTAAGAGAATGGACATCAGACCACCTGGCATGTACATTTTTCTTTTTAAAGTAATAAACTGGTGTGCTAATTTTTAAAATAATATTCATAAAATAATGAATGTTTGGTTGATTTAATGACTATGTCCTTATATATGAGATTAAATTCGTTTCTAAATAAATCCTCTGAGAGTCAGTATATCCTCTGCAAGTAACCAAACTCATTCTCAGATCAGAAATTTTTCGATGCTTCAATTTCATCCCATATTGCAGCTTCAATTTTTGAAGTGTCATATTCCCTCATCATATCAAACTCAAGCCATGGCTGACTCCACTTCTGGGCTTCCTTCATTTGCTCTTCAGTTAAACAAAGGTCAAATCTGATCCCCTTAATATTAAATTTTGGACGTTCCCAGCGTTTGGACCACGGCTTGGGCTTCATTTTTACTTTCAGCTAAGGAAGATATAAGGAAAGGAACAAATTAGGCTGACAGTTGCAAGCAAAAATTCTTCTAAAAGTTTTCTTTAAGATGATTCTTAGTTTATACTTGAACTTCCAGTTCCAAATGTACAACTTATACCTGATTAACAGGAACTTCTTGGCTAGGTTCTTGTGCTACTGGCTGCATATTCATATCAAAAGTGCTGTATTCAGGAAGGGCGTCTCGCAAGTATAGCAAGCTATCATCCAGCCGTTTCTGTAATTTGACTACTTGGATCTCCTGGATTCGAGGATTATAAAGTTCAAAGCAAATCTCAACACCTAAAAGAGAAGAAAACATATTCTTATAATCTAAATTCAGATTCCTGCATACACCTCATACTATAAAAAAGCTATTTCATGAAGGAATTAGCTCAGGGTTTTGCATGTAGGAAATGTGATATAAATTTGTAATCTTTAAAATGAAGATTATTGAAAGAAATAGAAATGAACAAATCCATGTAGATTAAAAAATGAGAAAACCTGAATTAGAATGATAAAGTCTAAAGAAAACTGTCTTCTATAAATATATTGAGCCATTTATCTCCTCGATTTTGATAGTATTAAATTAGTTGGAAGTTTGAACAATTCTTCACTTTGCTATGTTCTTGTTTATTTCCCAATTACTTAAATAAAACTCTATCTTCGACATTTTGACTCTTATCTTCTACATTTTGAGCAACAGAATTAATGATGCAAAAAGACTAAGTACATTTTTAAATTCTAACTTTGATTTAGAAGTCCTCTTAAGATGGCCTAGGTTTGTTAACACTCTGGAGCCCTCCACAGGAGAAACAGCTTTGAGTGTTTCCAAGATGTTGACATAAAAGGTTAATATATATCATCTGTATCATCAAACATTTAAAAGGAAGAGTGTATTCTGAGGTTTCCTGGAATAATCCCAAGAGAAATAGAAATAGTAAAACATATGATCAACGTTAACATCAAGTGTTTAATATCAGGATTTAATCCAGTATCCACTGTACATCTATTCTGTTATAGGCACTGATTTAGGAGCTGTGCCTATAGCAAAATCAAAATAGGTAAAATCCTTCTCTTCTCATAAAGCCTACATTCTAGTGGATGACAAATGATAAATAAACCAACAAGGTACTTTCATATAGTGAAGACAATACAGGGTGATGACACTGTGACTGGGGAGGGGGCAAATTTATGTATGTATGTACGTATGCATGCATGCCACACCGCATGGCTTGAGGGATCTTAGTTCCTTGACTAGGAATCGAACTTGGGCCCCTGGCAGTGAGAGCACTGGGTCCTAACCAGTGGACCACCAGGGAATTCCCAGGGGCAACTTTAAATAGTATAGTCAGGGAAAGCCTCTCAGAAAAGATAACATTTAAGTTGATACTATAAAGAGCCAAGAATGCTCCAGTCAGAAAGAACAGCAAATGCAGAGGCTCTGGGGTCTTAACAAACCTGCCATGTTGGAAAAACTAGAAAAAGGTCCTTTTGGCTGGAGCAAAGTAACTTGGTGGGCCAGGAAAGTAAGCCAGAGATACTGCACAGCTGCAGGCAGGAGATGATGGTGGCATGGACAAGAGTGGTAGCAATGGAGATGGAGAAACGGGCAAAATTGGGATAAAAGTTTTGGAAATTAAGCCATGAAAACTTGCTGATTGACTGGATGTGTGAAAGAGAATAACTAAAAATAGCTCCTAAGTTTTGGGTTTAAATAAATGGGTGTGGAGTGGTACAACTTATGGAAATAGAAAAAACTGTTAAAAGAACACATTGTGAAGGAAACAAAGAGTTCTGTTTTGAACTTGTTTTATTCTTATAAGGTGCCCAAATGCAGATGTCAAATAGGTAGTTGTATGTGCAAATTTGGAACAAGGAAAGGGTCAGTCCCTGACACATAAATCTGGGAAGTTAATACCACATGGATGGTATTTAAAGCCAATGGACTAGAAAGAATCATCAAAGTAGGAAGTATCAATGGGGAAGGTACAGGCAGGCCACAAACAGTCAAAATGTTAATGGTAGAAAATAGCAAGAGAGAACTAATACTTTTGAGTATTCTGTGTCCAGTACTTCATATAGAACATCACAATAAACTGACCACAACCCTGGGAGGTAGAAACTATTATCTCAATTTTAAAGAAAAAAAATCATCTCAGGTCTACCACACCTTTGCTCCTGCCTTTCTATTACAAGATTTCTCCAAGTACACAACCTGATTGTTGGCCCAAGTTTCTGTAATCAAGTTCTGCTGAGTTCCTACATGCACAGCACCACAGGTCATTATAGGATAAGGAAGACAGCAACGATTCTCACATGTTCAATTTCTTTCAATATACTACTTCACTGTTGGGGACCATGAAGCACACAACTTTAAGTATGAAAAATGTACTGTTCCTGCCAATTTTTTTTGTCTTTATTTCTTAAAAAAAGTTTTTTTTAGTTTTATTCATGTTTATTTTATTGAAGTATAGTTGCTATACAATATTATATGTTACAAGTATATAATATAGTGATTCACAATTTTTAAAAGTTATACTCCATTTATAGTTACTATAAAATATTGGCTATATTCCCCATGCTGTACAATATATCCTTGTAGCTTATTTTATACATAACAGTTTGTACCTCTTAATCCCCTATCCCTATATCATCACTCTCCTCTTCCCACTCCCCACTGGCAACCACTGGTTTGTTCTCTATACCTGTGAGTCTGCTTCTTTTTTGTTATATTCACTAGTTTGTTGTATTCTTAGGTTCCACATAGAAGTGATAACATACAGTACTGGTCTTTCTCCATCTGACTTATTTCACTTAGCATAATACCCTCCAAGTCCATCCATGTTCCTGCCATTTTGATTCATAATTTTTCTAGAATTTTACCACCCCTATCTTATTGATATAGCAAATGTAATTTTGCGTTTTAAAAAATTCCTCCAATTCTTATAAAACTAACAATTGTGGTGACTGTTGTAATATAAAGCAAAATGGGGGCCATTCATTTTAGGAGAAAGTTAACTTGCAAGGACATCATTATGCTTATCTTAATGTTTTCAAGGGTTATTTGCTCCTAAAATGAATGCCCCCATACTGCTTTATAGTCACTTGTCTCCTCCTTTGATGTTGCCATGATTTGGAAAGTCTACTTCTAATGGTTGTTGTCCCTGTAACAAAAGAAGCCTTCAGGAGAAAGCAAAGCACCAACTGTATGTACTCAGCAACCTCAATTCTCATACCATTCTTAGGCCACAGGCTCCCTGTCATCCCTCCAAGCTCCCTTTCACTTTCAAGTTCCAGATGTCTTCACCCAGGATGCAGAAAATAAAAAAGACTCCTGAGATAACATTTTCCAGAAAATCAAAATAATGAAATGAAGCCTACCTTGTCCTTCAATAGTATTCCTAAGGATAAAAGTAGCTCCAAGTCCTGTTCCTGATCTCTGGATGCAAATTCCCAGAAACTGGCTCGTTTTTCCATTGGCATATGGGTCAGCAGTAGTAACACGAAGAATGCTTCCTCCAAATTCAAAAGAAAAGTGAACTTTTACATGAGACGCAGAATCAAACAACAGCATTTCCAGGTAACTTCAAAGTTCCTAAATATTTTAATATAATATTAGGAATAAGTACCTCATATGGGCAAAACACAGATAGGTGAAAAACAATTTTCTCTTTGTCGAGAAAACTAACCCTCCAACCACTAATAATAAAAGCATCCAGCTCTTACTGACCAACATAGAACTCTGGAATGTGGAGTATTTTTCTCCTTTCTAACATATCTTTTCTTTCTATTTGAAATTTCAGAGGATTTGTTCTTCCCCTTGGAGGAATGAATTCAGGACTCAAGAACCTGTGAAAAATATAGAGTAAAATAAATTAAAAGCAAACTTAAAAGACCACTAAAAAAGAAACCATTGCTTTACCAAAAAAAGTGAAAGATTAGGATGCTGACATGTTTTATTCTTCCTTCTCTAAATAAGAAAAGTCCATCTTATTTCTAAAACTGTTGTCAATTCTCATGAAAATAGCTAACAATTTCTGAGTACTCACCCGGCATTGTGTTAAAAGCTTTATTAAACATCTATAGCATAACTTAATCCCTACAACAACAAGGTGAGTTTGGTGTCATCATCTCCTTATTACAGATGAAGAAAATGAAGCTTGGAGACAGTAAACAACGGACCTACTACTACATTAGCTATAAACTTATCAAGCCAAGATTAACAGACTTATTACTACATTAGCTATAAACTTATCATGTCTGTCAGATTCCAAAGCCTGTGACCCACAGGCCTCACGCTGAGTTGTACATGTTATAGTAAATTATGTTGGAAAAGATATAAACATATAAATCATCAATTGTAAACTAGCTTTAAAAATAATCTCCCTATTAGCCAACTGATTTTAAAGTCATTATGAAATATCTAATCTGTAGAAAAGTATAAATGATATTACAATGAAAATATATGTCCCTGTCACCCACCTCAAGGAATAAATTAACAATGTAGTTGAAGCCCCTGTGCACCCCTCCCTACCCCCATAGTTAATTACTGTGGGGTAATTAACTAAATTTTGTGTGATGATTATTCCTATGAATTTCTTCCTTTTCCTCAATTTCCTACTTTAAAATGTTTCAAACCTACCAAAAAGATGAAATAGTACTACAATGAACACCCATATATACTTCACCTAATTTCACCTACTGCCAACATTTTGCCGTATTTGCTTTACATGTACATATAATTTTTTTCCAGAACCATTTGAAAATGTCAAACAGCAAGCCATTTCATCCCTCAAACTTTAGAAGGCTTCTGCTAAGAATAAGGACTTTCTCTTACATTTATCACAATACTTTTATGACACCTAAGAACTTCAGCATTAATTCAGTAGTATAATCTAATACAGTTCATATTTAAATGTACCTAATTCGTCCTGGAAAAGGTCTTTTATAGCTGTTTGTTGCTCAATCCAAGCTACAATCAAGCTTCACATATTATGTCTGGTTGTTAGTCTCTTAAACTAGTACTCTTCCCCATATTTGCATTTTTGTAACATTGACTTTTTTGAAGAGTCAAAGCTGATCATCTTATAAACCATCCCTGGATCTGAATTTGTTTACTGTTTCCACATACCTAGACCAAGGATATACATTTTTGGTAAAAATATTACAGAGGTGATGATGTGATCTTCTTATTCCAACACATCAGGAGACACATAATGTCAGCTTGAATGGCTACTGGGAAAACTAGGTTTGACTGCTCGTGAAAGTAGAGAATTTCCCCTGTATATTTTTTTATACTTTACATATGTATGTATGTCTGGGCAATACAAAAATGCTACCATACTTGTCAATTCTTCTGCAGGTTGCTTTTTTCACACATCATAGTTGAAGTTCATCCATGTTAACTCTAGTTCATTCATGTTTCACTGCTGTATAATAGTCCATTATGAGAATGTATTTGCTCATTCACCTACTGAAGGATATCTAGGCTGCTTCTAAACTTTTATTACAAACATTACTTTTGTGTTCATTTTTGTACATCTCTCCTTGTACATATTACTTTCCTTAAGTTGTATACTGTCTGGGTGGGAAGGTACAGACAACCTCAAACTTACAAAATTTTGTCAAATTGTTTCCCAAAGTAGTTACTCCCATTTAACTGAATTATATTGTGTTGCCATTTAAGAGAAATATTCCTTTTCCACCTTAAAAAAAAAAGTTGTACTGAGAAATCTTTTCTGAATCTCTAGGTTCCATAAATTCAAGTTTATTTCAACTTAGAACCACAGGATATTTTAAACATTAAACACAAATACATATGCAGAGAAAATCGAATCGACAATATAGAGCCCTTTCATAAAGCCTAAGTCACACCAATTTTCCCCCCTAAAATTCGCTTTTTAATAAGGTTATACAATTCTACAGAAACAGTTTCTGCAAATTCTAGATCATCTAAATTTACACGTACCTACAAAGTTACCACTGCCTGCTTAAGTGAACCAGGCTTTTAAGCACACTGTTTTGAAGAGCAAATTTCAGAAACAAATTGGTAGAAATTTTTACCACCGTATCGCTTTTACAGGGACACTAAAACACAGTTAGTTAGGAAACTAAAACAGGGTGAGTTCTGGCCAATCCATTTCACCTAGGGAGAAAAGATCCGTTCCTTAACGTCAACAGGTAAAATACAATGTATTTCACAGAAAAATTCTCGATACGGGCCAAAGAGCCTCAAATCTGGGGAATCCCTACTTGAAATTCTAATATGACTGCAGAGAAAGTTCAATGCCGGCTTGGGAGAAGCGAGGAAGTCAAACCTGAGTTGGGTGCGCTTCACGCATACATGAATCCTGCACACAAGTTCTTATCTGGGAGACCCCAGGATAAGACCCGTTTCAGACCTCGGAAGCAACTACAGGTTCTAGAGCGCACAGACCCAAAAGGCAGGAATCGCGTCCAGGTCGGGGCTCTCACCTGCTTTCCCGGCGCTGGGGACGGCGCTTGTCCACGATAATCGGTTTCGGCGGTGGCTGGAACGCGCCGGGCTCAGAAGGTCCAGTGATCTGCCGCCGGCTCGGCCCCACGAGGGCCTCTGCGGAAGCGCACCACAGAGGTCAAGACTGCTCGCGCCAGCCCAGAGCTCCCGCGAAACCTTTAAATCGCCCCCAATGCGCGGTCCCACGAAAGGCCTCCTCCCATGTCGCCCCTGACTTCCAGAATCGCCTCCCCCTAGCCTGACCCTAAGCTCCTTCTGTCGCCGGCTAGCAAGCCCCGCTGCACTTACGGCAGGCGACAGAGACTGGCGCAGGGCGCAGAGCCCAGGCGCATCGAAAGGTCCAGCCCAGGGCCATTGCAGCCCGGCAGCCCCTGGCAATGGAGGCCGCCATGCTTGCTCCCTCAGTCGAGACTACAACTCCCAGTAATCAGTGCGACAAGGTCGCGGTCACCTGAGCCAGATGGCGCCTGCTAAGGGACAAAATAGCCAAGTCTTTCTCCACCCACCCCACCCCCACTCCCCACAAGGGCCCGGGAAAGTGCACTGTATTTCTCTAGTTCTCTTCATGTGCCAAGTTATATCACTCTACGGGAGTGTTCTCTCAGCCTAGAAAGATTTCCTCCCTCTTTGAATCAACTCTACCTTCAATTTCTCAGGCAAGACTTCAGTATGTCAAAATTCTCATTATAGGCTCTCATTCTGCCATTAGCAGCTCTGATGTCATTTGCAATTTTAATTTTTAGTTTAACTTAATTTTTAATTACTTGTGTAATTATTGGATTAGCGTCTAACTCCACCATTATACTGTAAGCTCCTGAGGGCATGGAGTTTGTCTTTTGCTCACCATTTTCTCTCAGCATCTAGCTGGTCCTCACTCTTTGTTGAATGCAAAAAAAGGAAAAGAAAATGGTTCCTGACAGAAGGGGTGGCAAAGTCCCTGAGACTACAGAGAGCATTACTCCCTTGAGGAGCTAAACTTGAGTTTGGGCTGAGCAACTGTAGGTAGGGATTATATTACCCTGAAAATTGGGTTCACCTTTTGTTCGGTGTTGAGACGAGACACAACCAAGCCAATATCAGAAGGAAGGATGTATTACTTACAGCAAGTAAGGGGAACACCTGGGATCTTTCCCAAAGCAGTGTCTCCCTGCACAGCAAATTTGAAGAAATCTTAAGCTAAGGGAACATGCATATTCATGAAGGGGTTGGGCCATATATGCATATTCATGAAGGGGCTTGAAAAGGAGAATCCATCATAGAATGTTGCAGCTGAAAGCTAGCTAAAGCAGTTTTAGTCTCCATTATTTTATGCTCTACTCACTTTCTTTCACTTGCCTCCCACAAGTGATTTCTTTTCCTAGTTAATTGCTTTTACAAATGATTACTTATTAGTTAGTGTTATATTGTGCACCTGGTATTGTTCCTCCTTTGAAACACTCCCGAACACTCCCTTCCATTGTGAGCATTCTTCTGTTGTGGAAGGGGGACCCCTTCCAGGGCTCTTGTCTAACACTCAGAAATGAATTGTGGAGGAGACAGGTGCTGACAAAGCAAGAAACTTTATTGAGAAGGGGCACCTGGGCAGAGAGCAGCAGAGTAAGGGAACCCAGGAGAGTGCTTTGCCACGTCTTGCAGTCTCAGGTTTTGTGGTAATGGGGTTAATTTCTGGGTTGTCTCTGGCCAATCAGTGTAACTCAGGGTCCTTCTTGGTGGCACATGCATCATTCAGCCAAGATGGATTCAGTGAGGATTCTGGGAGGTTGGCAGGACATATGGACTGGAGTCTCCTCTCTCCTTTTGACCTTTCCCAAATCCTTTCAGTTGGTGGTAGCTTGTTAGTTCCGCATTCCTTACCAGGACCTCCTGTTGTAAGATAACGTATGCAAGTGGTTACTATTGTGCCTGGCCAGGGTGGGTAGTTTTGGTCAGTGGTTCCCCTAACAACTCCCCACTGAGAGACTTCATACTCAAGATACTTCTTGGGAATTGGGGCAGTGGTTTCTTTCTTCTGTAACTACTTCCTGCTGAGAGTGGGCGTAGTCCTGCCTAGTAGAGTAGAAGTCTCTCTCTACCTGATCTAAATCAAGTTATCCCATGTCTGAAACCAGCTTCCACCCTTGTAGTAACAACAATTTATCCTGAAACTGTTGGACCCTGTAGGAGATAAACCTTGTAAGCAGTTGAAACACACAGGGGCCAAACAGGATTGTCATCACTGGGCCCAGAAAAGGAAGGCAAAATTTGGGGTGAGGGCTGCAGGGTGTGTGACTTTCTTCTGATTGGTTGGTGGTGAGGTAACAGGGTGATGCTCCAGGAATCTTGCACTCAGCCTGAAGTTACCATCCTCCACTTGGTTGGGGGCCCCAGTTCTGCAGAAGAACTCAAAGATATTGTTATGTATACTACTTGAGGAGGAACCAGGACCCTGCCCCAAGGCTGCATTTTTGTTTCTTGACTGCTCCTCCTTTCTGCATTCCCTCCCTTCCCTGTAGTAATGGTTTGAATCTGCCCTTTGGAACGCACGGAAGGTCAAGGAAGCTGAATGAAGCCTATTTCCTAAAAACAAGAAACAAGGGACACAGAAAGGTTTTTGTATCCAAGGGGGACCCACAGGGTCCTGCTCAGTTTCAAGATCACAAAATGGCTTAAGCCCAAAATGTCTTCTCTTATGTCAAAAAGCTGTAACTGGTTCTTTTTCTCTGGGGACCCCCTACCCTATCTGCTTCCAATAGGTGGCAAAACTAAAAAGGTAAATTGTAAGTCTTGTTAAGAAATTTGAAATTTGTACTCTCAGCAATGGTGTGCCACTGGAAGGATTTCACACTCAGAGTTGTCATGGTCCGAATGCAGGTTGGAAAAGAATTTCTAGACACAAGGAAGAATGAAAAGAAGATAGAATTTATTAGAGGGAAGGGTCACTGCCAGAACAGCAGGCCAACTTCCTGATAGCCAGGGGGAGTTGACCCTGAGCAAGGGTTTCTGGTCTGTTTTTATAGCCAGGGAAAAAGAGAACCTGGGAATCATCTGCTGATTGGGCAGGTATGTATACTTACAATGTGCAGAGCGTGAGAAGAATGGGACAAATACCTTTCCTTATTTGGGATGGGAAAGGGACAGGGCATGCTGCTTGGGAGGGCTTTGGGACATTGTAATGGTCACAATGTGACATAGTGATAAGAGTCCTGTAACTCTTTGTTCCAGCAATATTGGCCCTTTGACTTTATCTTGTTCTTTGTCCTTGGAGCATCACAAGAGTGAGATGATTACTTAGTTACTTATTGGTCATTCCAGTTGAATTAATGTCCCAAAGTACCTCAAACTCAATGTGTCCATATTGAATACACTATGTTCACCTCCAAACTTCCTCCCCAGTGTTAGCTATCTCAAGGAATGGCTTCAAAATCCAATCTGTTGCTTAAAGCCAAAAATCTCATTGTCATTTCTGATTCCTTTATGTCTCTCCCTAGGAAAAGTTCCTAAAACTACACCTGGCACCATCAACTATCTCAAATATCTTAAACTTTCTCATCCTCCCATCCATATTGCTAATCCAGGTTACCATCCTTTCTCCTCAGGATCACTGCAAACCACTGCAACTGTCTTCTCATTGGTCTTCCTGCCTCCAGTTCCCTTCAGTCGTTCTCCACATAAAAACCAAAAAGATGTCTCAGAAATGCATACCTAGTCCTTGTTTTTTCCCAGTTTAAAGCCATCCACAGTTTTCAGTTGACAGATAAAAAGTCAAATTCTCAAAGAAAGTGAGCCATGTTCTGAGGACAGAATTCAAAGTACTGCGAGGAGGGACAAAGTCTTCTTTTAACTCCAGCTTCCTTGATTAGAACAGAATTTAACTTATAATAGCAAGGAATTACACAATCAAAGTTTCAGATTAGCTAATTTTAGTCTCTCTCTGCCCACCCAAAAAGGATACTTCAAACTTTTAAGAGAAGTAAAAAGGGAGGAGAGACAAAGATAATTGTGACTGGTAGCCATGTTCAGAGATCAGGCTTGTCTTATTCACTTGCATTTTACCTCAGAAGATAAAGATGGAGAGATGGGCTAGGGCCACTGGTCCTAGAGAGATTAGCAGATTGAGCTGCTACAGAAGAACGGGAGGGTGGGAGTTGGAGGAATACATGATGTGTGAGCAGAATCCCATGCCTACTGTTAGGTATATGAGAAGATAAATAGGGAAATCACTGTAGCATACCAACTATGGAAAGAGATGGCTGCAGGGATCAGTCCTAGACTACCCAGTATTATTTTTTACTAGAAAACTGAATTTCACTAAGATTTGAGGAATACTAGCTTGAGAAGTATGTTTTATCTGAAAGAAAATATTCATAAAATGTAATGACTTAGACTTCTACTTTCTTTTTAGGTATTTGTTTATAGACACATATCAATGCATTTTAATCAACGTTACCTAGAGAATCATGGAAGGAAAATAACAATTTGCTAGAGACGAATTATTTCTAACTGTATAATAATGTTGATTGGTTTGTTATCACAGAAGTAACACATACTTGAAGGAACTGGGATTTGATTTCCCCCTGCCTACAAGTGAATAAGTTGTTTTTGTCTCATAAACATTGGTAGAAGACATGAGACTCCTGAGACAAAGGACTTTATTACTGATGGCACAAAAAGTAAGCAGCATGAGCATCAGCATGTTTGCAAACATCTCCTTTGCCCTCAAACCCCACATGTTGACACCATGGGCACAGATGCAGTGGGTTTCCTTCACAGCTGAGGAACACTGAACTTAGTAAATCCTTTGCTTTTATAGCAAGCAGTAAACAAGCCTGTGCTTTGTCCTGGTGAGACATGGACATTAACCCCTCAAGGCTGCTCATTGTAAACTCAATCTTGAGAAATGGTCGGATAGCATACCCACTAAGACACGTAGGAGCTCAAGAGACCCATGGAAAACTCTCTCCCAATAATACTTCATCTAGGAAATGTGAAAAAAAAATAACAAGGAAAATCTACCTCCTAAACTTTGAGAAGGGTTTATGGACGGCCACGGGAATCACACTTAAAGTTCAGGTGATAAAAGTTTTGAAACTGGGACACAAATACTCCTGTTAGGTACACCTAAAACCTCTCACACATTCTCGACCTCACGGTTTGGGATTGGGATTACTCTCTCAGGGGGGTCACTGAGGGGCCCCCATTTCCCAAATTCTCAAAGACAATCCTTCAGGTGTCCCAGAGATGGTGTTAATGTCCTCCATCTTTGAACATGGTGAGAGTTTCCTCACAGAGCCTGTCCACTTCTAAGCCCTAGCCTCTTCCCCGGTATGCTGTAAAACCTGAGCAAGTCACAGAAGAGGCTTGGAATGCAGAGCATGTAGACTATCAGTGTGCTGGATCCTCAAGGCCACAGGCAGCCTTGGCTGGAGAAGCATG